TGCTTTTCGGACGTCAACAGCTGTGGTTGGTCTATGCCTTCGGATCCGCGGCAACGAAGCTGAGGTTCAGTCTATGTGGATCTTTCGGGTTCGAGCCACAGTCAAGTGACGGAATTAAGGCCCACAGAACGAATTTCAGAACGACCACACTTGGTGGATGTGGTCGTTCCATGACCTTGGCCAGTCATGCGAATGATGAGCTTCTCAGAATTCCACTTCGGGCTACTTCGGGTTCTGGGTGTGTTGCAAAGCCAGTCCCCACCCCCTTCCGGCTTTTTCTCCAAGATCTCACGGGTTGGTACATTGACTGGTGAATGCAAAGAACACAGTGGCTGTGGGAGTCTTTAAGCCAGCTGATCCCTCCTCCTTTAATTGTTGGTCATCAAACGTCATCAGTAAACATAGACTTCCCGCTGCCAAGACTTCAAGCGGGATGGCGCTGATTCTCGGATTAGAACCCAAAATGGTAAAAGACACTGTGAAATTAGTACCAAGTGTACAGCTAGCCTGTCAAAATTCCAATCAAAAACTCCCACAGTGTCAGACTCGGCCAAGCGCCTGCGCACTTGATGCGTTGAAACCAGGGACGTCTGTCGCGTGGTCACTACGTCCGTGCTAGACCTCCGTGCCGCGCTTCACGCGGCAGGAGGCGTTCGACGGACCTCCTGGGGGGAGGAAGGCGCCTCTTGAGCTCCAGCCTCCAGGAGTAAACAGCGAATTTCCAGGTGCCCTCCCTGGATTGCTTGGTCCAAAGGCGTGGCGCCCGAGTCATTGGGCAGGTTCGGATCAGCTTCGGCCTGAAACAAAGATGGACGTGGTGTTCAGCTTGAACAAGCTAATCCCACATGATTGATATACACTCCCGAAAACTAACATGGACCCTGGCAAGGGCCCCCTAGAAGATGGTTTTCCTCTACCAACCAGTGGTTTCCAGGGTCCATGTTAGTCTTCCAGGGTGTACACCTCCTACCAGAACAGATTGAATAGCAACAAATCTCGACTCCGTTGGTCCGTTGCCTCGAGTACACCAGTCACTACCCGAAAAACGAAGTGGAAAGCAGCGCTTTCCAAGGATTTACAAGTGGTGTTCCATTTCCATGAGCATTTCATTGTGAGTGTATTCAAAACATCCATGTCTGGCTCCAGGCTCCTCCGACCGGTCCAAAGTCAGCAAAGGACGTCAGGCCTCCAACAGCAAGCGCGCCACTTCCAAGCGTCCTTCCTCACATGCCGCCCAGAGTGGGGTGACGAACGCATCATGTCCATCCGTCTCGGCACTGCCCTCCAGCAACAAGCGCACGATGTCCACATGGCCCCTGCGAGATGCCAAACACAATGGAGGTTCACCTCAGGATGCAGTGCAAATGGGATACAAATTGAATACAGGATGCAGTTCAGCTGCACCCACACGAGTCACACGAGCACAGTCAAACATCAAGTGTGGCTTACTGTTTTTCAGGTCCAGCTGAAGCGCTTGATACAGTCAAACATCAAGTGTTTGCTGTGCCATTCCTCAAACACAAACGAGCATACAGTTATAATTATACTCCCATACACCTACTTGATCAAAGATGGGGGTATATGTCACTTGCCAATCTTCTAAGATTCACCCTGCCAAGCCAGCAAATCCACGGAAGCCTCGGCTTCCAATAACAACTGAACCACCTCAGCATGTCCATTCTCTGCAGCCAAATGCAAAGGTGAGTCGAAATCGCCATTATGTCCATCCGGATCTTGTGGTCTTTGAAGTAACTTCTCCACAATCTCCACATCTCCTAGAGATGCAGCTGCCACCAGAATGTCAATGTCCTTGTCGGAAGAGCTGCAGAAGGGCAGTAAGACTAGCTGTAGATCCATGGGGACCTTCAGCATCATATCATCTTCCAAGTCAAATCTGTCGCAGAAAAGCCTTTGCCGGAACCTGGAAGCTCCACACAGCGAAACCAAGTGACGCTTTAAGCTCCTGATGTCACTCAGTTCTGAACTCGCCAGCACATCCGCATCCAAAGCGCAAAGCTCAGACCCTGAGACCATCTGAACACGCAGCATCGCATGGAGCGCGTCACCAGGGGCACACCAGGGTCGGCCAGACCCCAAGGCAAGCGCTTCTTTGAGCGTGTTGGATGACAATGTGTCGTATGTATTGAAGTTGTTTAATTCAAGGCATTCTTGCATGACGATGTTCTCAGGCTATATTCCCAGGTTTTAACAACTTGTGCTTTCCTTGAAACGATGTCTTTGGGATGTTCATTCTCATATCTTCACATGTCGCTTTTGCGTTTCTCACTATATATAGGCCGACTACGAACTCCTTGTGCGATCCACCTCGCAGCAACAACACGTCGCAGTGCGAGCCCCGTTGCTCCCACCACCGGACTCCCCCTTAGGTGACCGGTGCGTTTGTTCGACGGAGAGTATGATCCAACTCTGGTTCGCCTCCGGTTGAATCCAAACCGCAGATTCTGGGCAGACTGGTATCCCTACTAGTCCAGTCAGACCGGCGGTACAACATGGTGCGACCGACCGAACATGGAATACTGGTTTTGCATGACCGGCAGTGAAATGAGGGACCTGTATGGTATGATCTGGGATGTGTACCAGAACGCGCAGTTGGCTTTGCCGCTTTGCAGCTGTAGTTGAAGTGAATCCTGCACAAGATGATTTCACCGTTTCACCGTAGGTGAACGGGATCGTTTCACCATGAAGGATCGTTTCTTCACTGAGATCTCAGTTCTGTGTTCTTCATGTTGCACAGAACTGAGATCCTGGACAAATCACTTTGGATCGTGGAAGACTAGATGTTGGGAACGGGATGGTGGCTGGGAATCAGGAGGTAAACATGTTTCAGGCGTTTCAACAGCCTCATCAGCCGGTATCTTGATGAAACACACAGCGAATCATTGCCCACCCCCAGCTCGATTCCTCAGGTAGATTGTTCTCCACAGACTTTGGGCCCTCCAATCCAGTTGAGAGCACTCAAATGAGTGTACTTGCTTGCTAGTTCACTACCAAGGACCCTGCACGAATAGAACATACAGAAACAATCAGAAACACACCATCTGTGAAACTGTTTGAGTGCTCCTGGTCAAGGACAACAAGGACAAATCATGTTCCCAGTAATCCTGTCGGACTGCATGTCGCAGTAAGAATCAAGGACCATCACTCCCACTAATGGGATGGGACTTTGCTGAGTTCTAAAGTCATGCTCCTCCAACCTGTGCTGTTCCTTTCTGAAGATCCCCACCATCCCCAACACGTTATCGTGGTTTACCTCCAACCAATGGGTGTTTTTTCCTAAAACCCATCTGTCTGACCGATCTCAATGTTTTTACAGTCTATAGGCCAGTTCACCCAGTTGACTGGGAGTCCCCTCAAACCACCCCATCTCTGGTTTGGCACAGTACCTCTCTGTGCAGCGAAGCTTCCAGCTCCTGAGGGACTTGCCTGGAGGTGCAAAGGCCATTGATCTCCCGGAGCACCATGGCCTGGATCCGCGACTCGAGCGACCTCTCCCGGATGGGCTGGCGAAGGTGGTTGGACCCTCCCAACCCACCCCAACCACCTCGATTGGAGCCCTAGGGTATATATTGCCTTTTCAATGGCCATGACCATGACGGAACAGTCTCACGGAGTCAAAGAAATCGTGGGTTGCATCGACGGCCAATCATGGGTTTACTTTTTGTTGGGTGGAATGATTTCCACCACATTCCGAGAATGGCTTGATGTTCGATGCCATGGAGTCGAACAACACATTTTTGGTCGACCACTCCTGACTGGAGTGACCACCTGACCTGGCAAGCTTGCACGACATGTGTTCTCTTCAAAAACTAAACACGTCACATGCGCAGGTCTCGCCACACATCCTACGCGTGCTTTTGCCCAAGCAGCCTTGATGCAAATCTGCAGCTTGACACTCTTGGCCCGGCTGCTTCCTGAGATGCGGAAGCTCTTCAAAACATCTCTGGAACGATGATAAATACAAGTAAAAACCCTGGATTTGGATTTGTTTGTTTGTTGCATGGGGTGGGTGGGTGAGTGTCTACCTGCTCTTATGTTAATGTATACTTTATTGGTGTACTCGAAATCCACACAGCCAACAAGTCGTGATGGTGATATTATGTGATATTACTATTAAGACTTATTAAGGCGATATAAACGCTTAACACATCCAATTCAAACAAAGTAGGCTATCAACTACTTAAATGATAACAAACAACACTTTGGACCAAATAGAGTCAAATAGCAAACAATAAAGCCCAAGTTCGAAGCCATTTCGCAAGGCGCTGGCTGAGTCTTGGGAGTCGACTGAAAAGAATCTTCTGGACAACACTTGGTGTAAGCTAGGTCATGGGATGCCATGGGAAGTTCCTTCAAACATATGCGCCCTTGATCCAAGCTAGTCTCCGGAGTCTCCCCCCTCACCCGCGTGTCCCGATCATCCAAGTGTCCTGCCGCCAACCACACCAGCACCACATCAGGAGGTGACTTCAGACCAGAGGCCAAAATATGAACCTTGGAATTCGGAGCTTTTTCGGTGCCTCTGGTGGAACCAGATCACATCTAGGCTGCCACATTTCATCAAGATGTGATCGGCTGGAGGTGAAAAGAAGTGGCCTGAATACGGGAATCTGTATGCTTTCCGTAGTCGCTTCCCCCCCCACAACAGTATCCAAGCACCCCCCACAACAGTATCCTATGCTTATGAGTCCTAAATGAATACATCCAGTCACATCCACCCAGAAGCAAAGGTTTTAGGATGTTCTAGATAAAGTAGATTAGGGGACAAAATAGTCCCAAACATCCGCTTCGATCCAGCCTGAGAGTCCCCGTCTGCCAGGGAGATCTGGCGCGCAGGCAGGCTGGTGCAGGAGGGTTCAGAAGCAAAACATTCCCCGCCCCATCCCACACAATCCATGGAATTTATCTTTCCCAAGATTTGGGTGGTCTTAAGATGTTCTAAGGGTCAATGTCAGGAAGCATTGTGGGAGGAACACAGGACTTACTGCAGTCTTTTTCTCCGTTTCTGGACCCCCCAGCGACGACACCGACACCCTGCTAATAAGGTTTCTGGCCCTGGTACTCGTGCTTGCTGCATCGAACGACCCGGATCACTCGCCCTGGAGCTCGTAACAAACCCCTGGTTTTGTTCGGCACACGTCGTGCTTGCACGTGCGATTGCATCAGGTAAACCCGTACCAACTATGCCCGTGGATGAAGATGATCGTCCCAAATGTTTGAGGGCATTCGTTCCCTGTTATCGATTTGGTATCCAAGAAACATTCCAAGTGATGATGATACAAAGGGGATGCTGTCTGGTGGACAAAATGTGTTTATAGTTTCAAGATTCGGCGCATGCTGTCATTATTTCTGGCACTTCAGATTTCCTGTGTATATTAACATAGCACTTCACCGCTTTACAAGGAATCAGCCATGACAAGACAAAGGATACGGATCAGCCTGCAAAAAAAACACACACAATCAATGAATAAACAACAGAAAAGTAAAACAACAAAAAAAACAGTGGGTGTTCTCGATCTGAGTGCCGTGTCAAACAACGCCTCCAGGTCCAGAAGCATGCTGAGCCACGTCCCGGACGGTTCCACAACCCAACATTCCATTTCATACAACGGCTGCAAGCGAGCCAATCTTGTAGAAAATGGGATGGGGTCCTTATCTACTAGGTTGGAGGCCATTGCTATTATTAGTTTGGAGGCCATCGCTAGTAGGTTGGAGGCCATTACTACTAGTAGCGAGAAGCTAGCAGTAATATTTATCGTACTCTTCCGAAACCCAACAGGAGTTGCCACAGATGAGTCCGCCTCCTTGGCCTCCATAGCCATGCTCCTCCACGCGCACAGGGTGCCCTCTGCCGCACGTGCTGTCCAGGCTGCAGCACGGGCAGCGCAGCGAAGAGGGGCAGAGCTCTGAATGCGCAAGGTGAAGGGTGCGGCCTCTGCTCAAAGCGGAAGTCGATGAAGCTGTTGGATGCTGCTGGATACTGTTGGAAGTGACTCCAAACATTTGGACTGGACGATCTAAGCGCTCGACTGCAAGATGATCTTAGCTCACTGCTAGATCGTCCAAAGAAATACGTACTCTGAACTTATGCCATCATAGCTGAACTCTGAAAATATAGATAAAGGCTACAGTCTCCAGTGTTTGAGACGGCTGGACCCAGGTCTGTGGGTCACGAAACAGACGCTCCGAGTCTCCAAGGTCTTGGGCCTCGGGGCCGCCGCTGATGGCCACTGGACCAGAACCCAAGCAAAGGGGGAGTAGCAAATAGTCGCCCGGATCCAAGGCCACCTGGAGACTGGCAGAGTCTGGCAGAGTCTGGCAGAGTCTGTGGGTCTCAGGATGGAAGAGTGAATAAGAAGCTCAAAACCTCTCACTTGGTGGGGCAAAAAAAACACGATGTTGGCAAGCGGAACATGGATGTTCACAGGCATCAGGGCTCCATGCTGGCATGGCCCAACTCGTGTACCACCTGGCGGTTGAAAATACCATCCATTCGACAAACTGGTGAACGGGTGCCCCAACTACTGACTGGTGCGACGAAAGCAGGGTGGCTGAGGGTGGCTGGATCCAATAGAATCTCTATTGGGGGATCATTCCCTTATTCCCTACTAAGCACCAGTTAGACTATATTGAGCTTCTTTAGAACTTTACAATGAACAACCCTCCCCTGTGATTCTCATGTCAAGACCGGAGTGATTCATCCGAGTGGTCAATTCCTCGCATGATGGATCACCAGTTATGGACGAGTCTGACCTGGAGCACCCATGAGTCTGTGTCAAACATCTGAGCAAAGAGGTTCCAATGTTCCACTCCCCAAAATCTCAAATAGTTTGTACTCATCAATGGAGCCTGGACCCTCAACGTCTCCTCAGGAAGCGTATGTTGGGAATTTGCTGGGCCAAGCAGACCCTGTTCGAAGCCTTAGTGACTTTCCCAAGATTCCATGGATAGGTTAATATGCAGGGGGATTGTTATCGAGTTGGAAGGTTGGAAAGGTCGAGTTGGAAGGTCAAACAGGGACGGATTTACGTGGCTCAATGTGGAAACATGCGCCACGGTAGACCCATATTCCTTTTGAAATTGTCTATAGCTGACGCACACAAATCATGAGGGATCATGTGGGAAGTGTTCATCCTCCAAGGACAAAGATCCCTTTGAAATGGGCTCCTTGAGAAAAGATTGGATTCTTGCCAGCCAAAAAAACAACACCCGCCTGCATGGTACTTCGAACTTGATTCCCCTTGAAATGACTGGCCACAAGCTTCCCAACGGTCCTCAGATCATGAACTTGTCACGATTATGCCACTGCAACTCATCAGTTTCAGTTGTTGGATGGTCGATTCATTCTCATGAAGATTCTCCAAAAACAGCAACCCGATGAGCCTGTGGCTGTAACGTCGACAAGGTATAGCAGAAATTCTACCAGGAGGTGTTGTTTTCTTCAAATCTGCTTCACAACAATGCGTTGATTGATTACTTCCAAATAGGTTAGTCGGCTCATTGGTTCTTGCGACCCTATGAATCCATTGACATCTCTAAGAAGGTGATGTGCAAACTCTTTGATGTAGCCGAAGTGAGGGAACACCATACCTTCTGAGAGGGTACCCGGATCCCTAGGATTCCTTAGGGAGAGACCGTTGAACGCTGCGCTGCGAGCACGGCTAAGCAGTCCGACAAAGGCTGCGAAGTCCATCAACCGCCCACACACGAGCGGACGAGACAATTCATCCAGTGGGACGGGTGCTCAGTCCGAACCAGAAAACGGAGAGATCCACGATGATCCACCATGTTCAATTCTTGTGTACTCATGGTTTCCAGGGAACAAACCATATATATATATATATTGCACTCACTCCCCCTTTTTGGCCAGCTCACCTGAAGGTTTTAGTGTTTAGTGCTTCACTAAACACCCTTTCTCATGCCACGCCTATATAGGCATTATGGCAAGCCTCTGTAGGGCTATCCACAAATGGATTTATGGCTCTGTAGGCCAATTGCCTCTGTGGGCACGGCTATATGGCAAGCCGTTTTCTAGCCTCTGTAGGGCTTTCATTTCAGAAATGGTACTAATAGGCACGAGACAAGGCTCAGCCTGTCAGTCTTCCACGTCCCCAGTACTGGACCTCTAGAGGGCCATCATAGGACGATAGTGGCGGAGGAGGGAACGGGTGTGGGGGGTTAAAGAAAGTTTTGTGAGCATAGATAAACCTTCCTGAATATACTGCCTTGCAGCACCAGAGGAACCCCACCTTCCCTTAAGGAGGGAGCGTTCCATCAGGCCGTGCAACCGAAAATCTTCGGTAGCACCACCTCGCCTCAAGGAATACGGCCTGAAAGTAGATTTCAACTTAAAAACCATGAGAAGTTGCCGAAATTGACCGCGAAATTCAGCTTTTGAAAGTGGCCAAACCAATTCATGTCGGGAGGCAGCGAGCTCCTGGACTGTCTGGGCAATCAGGATAGTGGGCGCATGTCGGATAATGACGTTCTCATCGATCTGTCTCCTAAGCCCGGTTTTTGTCTCTCCAAGGCGAACCACCATAGTATGTCCCTGAATTAACAAATGATGAAGACGGACTTCAAAAATTTCTCCTGTCCGGAGCAAACCCCAAAAACCCAGGCAAAGGCAAAGAGCCAGCCTCAGGTTTTCTACTGCAATGCATCGTCCCACCAGACCTTCCACAACTTGTATTGGGAAGGGAGGTGCCTGTTTGGGCCTTTCGACCTTGCGCCACAGTCCATACAGCTTCCAAGCTCCCCTTATCTTCCCTCTACTCCATGGGAGGAAATGGTGCAACCCCGACAAAGTGTCTGCGACGCTGGTGATGCTGCTACCTGCCTGATATTCCGCATCAATCCAATCTACTAAAAACTCATCAAGGTCACGGGTGGTTTTCTCCAGAAGAGGGAGCACTGCTGCTACCGCAACAAAATACCTAATCCTGGTTTTCACAGTGATGGCTTTATCATGGAGCGACAGCCCTTTACGCTTACGCCTACGCAGGCGGCGCAAGGTCTCAGGATCTGCTCGCTTCATCGGTAGGGTTGTCAGCACTGTCAACGTGTGCCAGATTCAGCAGCCCATGTCCGGCCAACAGCAAGGCGGCGATCTTCCTACAAATGAACTTGAGCTTATGGCTTCCCGTCCTGCCTTTGCTAAGAATCGAAATAGCCACGTAACTATCACTCAAATGAAAAAGACGCCGATTCGTGAACTTCCTCTGCATGGTCTTCCAGAGAAGGGACAAGTAAATGGCCCTGATTTCCAAAGCATTTATGTGTTCTGCTTCGTTCCACCGGACCTTGAACACTGGCTGCCAGGCCCACCAAACGCTGTCCACACTCTGTCGCGGGAACGTTTTGGGGTTGAGCACCTGACCCGTAGAAACACGTATGTCAGACCCGGTGTGTCGTGTTTTGCTTCCCAAGATCCTATTCAGCTCAGTAGCTCCTGCATGGGTGCATGTCCCTGGAAAGGCTAGACCTCTCTGCAACGGACAGGCCAGCGGGAGTCTCAGAGAGCTCCCTGGAGGGAGCCCCATCCGGGAGAAAAGGACCTGAGGGATAAACAAATTAGTATACTTGTAAACACTTGCCGCTGCAAAAAGTACAAACGACCAAATGGAGAAGCTATCGCCCACTAAACTGCATCTCTCGTCTTCGTACTTTTGTTTGTTGCTCTTTGCCTCCGAAGCTGACATCGCCATGCACGTGTGGCCAAAGCCGTAACCCATCAAGATCTCACGCTCTGAGGCATCCAGCACCCGGGTCTTGTCAGTGGCAGGGCTGTATACCAAGTATTCGGAACGATACTGATACGGGGGGTACCTAAAGCCATGATCCTCCCACCTGGCTCGTGTCCAGGAGTCTGCCCGGGACAACCCAGCGGGCCTGGGGGGCGGCCTGGCTCGTTGAATGGCTTTCATAAATGTTGGATAAACTGCTAACTTGTCAACCTGTTCCCATTCCGGTCTGAGCCATTGGTCAGCACTTGGCCAATCACCTTCCACCTGCACCTCAACGTAGCCAGGCCTTCGCACCAGGGCAAGCCCTCGACATGGTGGGAACTGAATCGATGTCCAACAGAACCGAGGCCTCGAGTTTGGCACCTGACAACTTGGACAAACTTTGTACGGGATAACCCCTAGTAAAGTGCTCAGCTGGTCTCTCACTTCAACATCCATGCTTGCTACATTTTCCACAAAAAATTCCGTAGGAGTGTCAGGGAAAAGCACGGCTAGCTCGTCAAACACGCGAATTGCCTCGTGTATCAAGCTGCTGGAAGCGCCTTGAAGGTTCTGGCGGTGAGCCCGCACACTGCTCACGTCCACGCAGGGAAACCCTGCCCATAGATGAAGTTCTCCAAAATCACCAAAGTGTTCCATCTCTTCTCTGAGACAGTCACCCGTCAAGGTGCGCACATCTTCCCAAAATCTGGTATGAGGCCAGCGCCTTGCTGTCACGCGATTGGCTGGTTTGTGAATATCACAGGCTAGCACACCTGCTACCCGCACACCTGCCACGTCATAACAGCGCTGAGCACCTCCTATCCCATTGAACAGCGATACAATCACCACAGGAACCTCTTGCGCCTGTCGCTCCCGCGCCTGAGACCAGACAAAGCCTTTACCTTCCGGAGTGAGACAATCACTGAAGGCGACCGCTCCTCCTTTCATGCTGGCATCACTGCAGGTCACCATCGGGTCGATCTTGCTGCCCAACCAAGTGTGAAATAACGGGCTGCCACAGATACCTGTCAGCATCTCCTTCCTAACCTTATCTTGCATCAGGCGGCCGAAGCCCTTTCCTGACACCCATTCCCAAACATGCGAGAAATGAGCCATGCCCGGTCGCCTAAACTGCAGAATGAAGCACAGCCTTCCCATGACAATTTGCACTTTCTTCTTGCTCAACTTAGGTTGCCCGCATAGCCAAATAACGCTCTTGAGGACCTTGATGAGGCGCTCAGGTGAGGCTCCAATCCACTGCCCTTTACCTCCGAGAAAGGCTCCTAATTCAACACCTGAGGAAGCCGCTACTACTGACTTATCTTCGGACACCACAACACCAGCGTCCATCCACAGCTTTTCTGCCGGCTTCTGCAGTGCAATCAAATCGTTGGGCTCTTCATTTCGCACCTTTGCGCCTGCAGCGAAATTATCAAGGTACACATGCCACCAAGGTCGCCCCTGCTTGTTTCCCAATTCTGAGCTCTCCAACACCCACGGCGGCAGAGGATGAGACTTGGAGATCTGAGCACAGGGATCAAAGCCCCCCTTTAGGAGAATCGTTTCAGCCAGGTCTTGCATGACCCCAACGGCCGAGCACCATCCCATGGGGAGCACCCTACAGGCCAGGTACACTGAAGAGGACCGATGGTCATCTACCTCCAGTCCCAATTCCTCACGCCTGAAACACAGGTTGAAACACAACATCCTGCACCAGCAAGGGGGCAACGCAAACAGGTAGAACGCGCATTGCATGTCACTCTGCGCAATCCGAAGAGTTTCCCCTTCGTCCACGACCACATTTAACCACTGAGACCAGTGCCTAGTGGCTGATGTGGGCCAGGAGTTGCCCAAGCTGCAAGGAAAGGTGCATATTGGCGAAGGTGAGCGCAAAAGCATTGCTGTTGAACTTGTCAGGCGAGGTATTTGCACCTGGGTAGATGAGGACCAGGTGTTCAGGTTTAGAGGCGAAAAGGTCCTGAGTGGACTGTTTGGCGTGCCTAAGCCCAAAAGGCTTCCCTCTGGTGAAACTATCTTGCGTCTTATTATGAATTTGGTGCCTGCCAACGCCGTGTTGAAGACGATTCAGGGAAAGGTGGATAAGCTCCCCTGGGAGCACCCTAGCTAAAGTCAGCGGTTCGGCCTTGCAAATTTCTTCACCTGTATACGTCACTGTCCTATGTTCAAAATCGTCCACAATGTCAGCCTCTGTCCATGCCACAGTCGTGTCATCGTCCATCAATCGTTTGACCGACATCTCAACAGCACGCAACAAATCCCTCTGCGGGGCTGTAGGATTTCCTTGCCCAAACATAAACCCTTCATTTGCCAGTCGATTGCAAAACAGGACTCCTAAGGAGGCCCAGCACGCAACTGCATTGGTTTTGACAAATTCCAAATCATGCAAAACGGACGAAACCGGTTTCTTTCCAAACCGAGAAAAATCCACAAACCAAACTTGAGGGAGGGGAAACAGTTTGTTTTTGGAGCGAGAAGCTCGTGGTAGCTGGCTCTTCTTTTTCTGCGCCATCTCGGCGGAGAGTTGGTCAAGGAAACTTCCATCCAAGGTTTCCCCTCGCTCACAAATGGAGAAATATAGTCCCACTCCCAGCGCGGAAAAGGATCCAGCTAGGTCCAGCAGGACTTGCCACCACTTCAAACCGGGCGGCTCCACTGCTCCTCCCTTCACTTCTCGGCTTCGCCCTCTTTTTCTTTCTTTCCTTTTCCCTTGTTCTTGTCCTTTTTCCACCACCCCTGGTCCTGGTTCTTTCGCCATCCTCCACGGCCTGTCCAGGGGTCTGCCTTCTCCTTCTCCTTTCCCTTCTTTCCATCTTTTCCTCCTTTTCTCTTTTTCCACCAGGGCTCGGCGTCCTGCCAGCCCCCATCTCCTTTGCTGCCCTTGTCCTTTCTTACGCGCCCCCTTGCCTCGTCTGGTTGGGTGACGCGCTCCATCATCTTCGAGAACTTCCGGGCTGCCAGGGTGATGGCTGGCCCTGCTGCGGATGTCTGGTCCGGGGAATAAAGCTCCAGATGCCTGGCAGCCGACCATTGCTGATCGAGGCTCGCCTGTTCGATCGCCAGCCACCGAGCCGCCAAGGCGTCTCCCAATTTGGCCAGGCGACCCACGCGAAGCAGGTCGATGACGTTCGCCAGCAAGTAGGTCTCTCGCCCGTCTCGGGATTGCTGAGAGAATGCCCCTGATTGAATCAGGGTGTGCCAGTATGTCACAACCTTTGTTCCTGTCAGGACAGGGTCTGAGCTTTCCCCCGCACCGCTGAGCTCGTTGAGCCGAGCCTCTATCCTCTCGATGAGAAGACTCAGCACGGAGCCCTCCATCTTCTCGCTGCGTCTCTTCAGGGGTGGAAGGAGGTCCTCTTTGTCTGTCTCGCTGCTGTCGACGTCCTCGCCACTGGAGTAGCTGTCCCCCTCGTCTGACGAGGGACTTGACCCACTTGGGTCGTCTCCTTCTCTCTTTCGCTTCTTCTTTTTCTTTTTCTTTTTCTTTCCTCCTCCAAATATCGTCTGCAGTGCCTCCACTGCCTTTTGCTTCTTCTTTTTCTTCTTTTTCTTCCCATCTTTCGACTTGGAGGTCCTGGCTGCTTGCAGTGCCAGAGATGAGGCCACATTCGACTTCTTGCTTATCATCCTCAAGGGCTTCAAAATATCTTCTCTTGGCTCCTCCCCCTGGCCTTCTCCACTGGTCAGGGCAGCACGGCGAGGGCCAGCCGCTCCCTTCGGGGGTCCCAACTTCGTAGATGTGCCCAAACCTTCCTGAACAGGGTCGACATCTCCATCCCCCTCTACACCCAAGTGGTCTCCACCTGTCAGAGCTCCTTGTCCAAGTCCCAAGCTTTGTTGACGCTTCCTGACCTGGTCCAACCTGGCCCTGAGCGTCCCGGCAGCCGAGCCAGCGGGACCAGGTTGTTTCGCCTTTGCCGACTTCCTGGTGTCCTTGGGGCGGTCTCGACGATCTCCCTGACCTTTTCCTCGTAGTTGAGCCTCCTTGGGTTCCCCGCTCGGCTTCTTCCTCAAAGCAGAGGGTCTGCCAGCGGCACCTTCCAAGGGCTCTCTCACCTCGTCTAGCTCTTCTCCAGCCTCGAACTGTTTCACAATGCGCTTCCCTGCGGGCGACAGGCGGTGCGTCGGAAATGTGAGTCCATCCCACAGCTCCAACCGATGAACATGGAAAACACCGCCCTCTTCCTCGCAAAAACCTGCACTTGCGCACACGTGAAGGTGTCCTTCCTTCCGGTTGAAAAAGGAAGAAAGGATCGCCAGTGCTTCCGGATGTGAGCTTCCTACCGACTTTACCCTGACCAGGGCACTTCCATCGGCACCCAACTCTATACCTGTGACCAGGAAGATACCTTCCACCCCGTCTGCTCCCAACAGCTCGCCCGGAACTGCTGTAGTTATAATGTCTCCCAACTTTATCTCCATAGTGGACCATCTGGCGGGCTCGTTCACATCGAACAGCCCATAGGCGCCTCCAGCACCTACCAGCTCCACCTCCGCCTCGCCTTCCGTCATTTCTTAGGCTGAGGGGGGGTGCCGGCAATCGCCGACGACCTAGGTGCGTGTGGATCAAAGTCAAAGTGACTCTCGTCCAACTTCCGGTGAATCTTGAGGTAAGGGTCACGCTCGGCCCTGTAAAGACGCTTGTGTTTGCGCCCCGCTCTGTGTTTTGGATTCCTGTGCTTGCGCTTCCTGTAGGACTTGTCGTCCTTCCGCTCTGGCCTTGATGGCTGACTGGGTCGATGTCGATGTCGACGACGCCGTCCAGACTCTTCAGGCACGGTGCTCCCACCAGCCTGTTCTTCCTCTCCGTAATCTGCCTTCTCCTCAGTCTTGATCCTCTCTGCCACTCCTTTAGGGGGAGCTGGAGGTTTCGCCTTTCCCGAAGTACCTGGGGCCACAGTCGCAGGTGGCAGCAAGGGGTCAACCAGGATGGTCTTGTCCGAGGCCGCCTCCGATTCCTCCTCTTCCTCGTCGGACTCAGATGAGTCCTGCTCCTTCTCCTCGTCCTTCTCGAGAGGCTGCGGGGCGGCACCCTTCTTCTCCTCAACAGGCTTTGGTGACCTCCTCAAGGGAGATCTCTCCCGGTGTGGCACGGGGTTTCCCCCAGCCGGAGCAGCCACCGGAGGGACCCGCGCGGGGAAGCGGCCCCCAGCGGTCCCCCCAGTGGGGGCGTGCGGTGCAGCCGCGGTCACGCGTGTGACTCGCAGGGCCCGGACCTGGCGCACGGCCGAGACCACCAGGTCTGTCGCCACCGCCCGCAGGCCTGGGTGGCACCACGAGAACGAAAGTTCGTTCCCGATGGCCTCCCAGGCGCTGCAGGCGAGGCACCAGGTGTCACCGGAGGACGGCGACACCCGGCGGCACCGCGCGCACACGGCCATAGACCGTGAACGATCCTTTTTGAGCCCGTGGCCAGTCGGTGTTCATGCAATACATCTCATGTTCCAAAGATGTCATATATATACTCCACCACTTACTCCACCGATGTTGAGGGCGGGTGAAACAATCTCATCGAAGGATCCAACTGGCGTGGTCGGGCCAATGACCGTGCCATGACCCGCCCGGCCACCAGCAACTCAGTCGGTGAAGTTGTTCAATGAGGGAGGGCCACCAGGGTCGCTGAAGTACCAAGCGTTCACAGAAGAACCATCAACACCGAAAAGGTTGTAGCATTCGCATACTACCTGTGTTTGACTCACGTACTAACAAAAGTGAGTCAGGAACCACCGATCCACCTGCCGCAGCAGGTCTCTGACTCCTCTTGTCACAGCTCAGGATCAAAGGCTCCAGGGACACGAGCTCCAGCAGCAGCAAACTGACGTCGCCTCGTCGCTCGAATTTGTTGGTTTCACTGGCCTCCAGGAGGTCCATAAGACACACACGCACACAAACTGGGAGGTATGCCAGGACCCCGGCGGTTGGTGAATGGACACCCCGGGCTGGTACAAGACACCGAGACACCCCTTACGTAGGGGGCCCTGGTGGTTGCTGGTGTATATCTCTTGTGTATGTTGATTTTTCAATTTTATGAAAGAGGTGGACAATGGCATACGTGTTAACGCTTTCAATGTATGCCGATTCCGATACTTACATCAAAGAGCTCTACCTACTTCCAACACATGGCTGATTGCTCACCCCTGACGTGTTTTCACTGCAAATATCGCAGTCGGAAAAGGGTCTCTTTGGATGTCTCTTGGATCTATGCTGGTTGTCATCAAGCTTGACCTTGCCAGTTTAGAATATAGAACTGGAATTGGATCGTTGTTCTACTTCTTCATGCTGAGATCATCTGAAGCTGGAGATTGAACAAAGTTAAGCTGAAAGCTTGAGGTTCGCTTTACCGCTTGAAATAATGTTTTTGGAAACTGCAATAATTTCCAACTTGGGAAAGCCCTTTTGCTGGCATCTGTGGGGATGCTGCAGCGCCCGTTCCGAGCGAATGATCAAAGGCAAGTATATCCGTCATCAAACGTACATATATACATGTATACATACGTATATTTCTTGCGGTAGCAAGCAACACAAATGGTGACTCAGGAATCTGTTCCTGACTGATTCGATAACCCCCCAAGCACTTGACTTCTTTGTAAAGTCCAACGATCACTTGACTTCTTTTGACAATCGAGTCACTTCCCTCTACCGTCGATGCCCCCGTCCGGTGCCGCCGACGATGATGCGTCGATGATGCGTCGGGCACGACGAGGAGCCCGCTTGCCTGGCTGATAGAAGCGCTTCCGCTCGCCCCGCATCCAGGTGCCACGCTTGGTGGGCTGGAGCACCGAGATGTAGAGCTGACTGTGCTTCTCCAGGTGGAGAAGGTAGACGTTTCGGCAAAGCCTGACACACGGTGGTGGTCTGTGACCCAAACCCAAAAAGTATTGGGGAGGTAAACAGGATGTTTGCTTTTTTTGGATGAGTTCAGGGCCGGAAATGAGAGATAAACGAGATCTGACAAAACAAATGTAAAGCATTGTTCTAGGGTGGGACCCCAGCCTAGAGAAAGAAGATCGCTGACGATCAGCAGTGGTACATCTGCATACCCAAGAAACCGATGTGCTGACAAGTATCAACAACATATCATCACGAAAACATGGTCTACTGCAGTCTACTGCAAAGCAACACACCAAAGAACCCCTATAGCGGTCCTTGACGGGCCCCAGAATACGGCATGGTGAGCTGCGGCACCATCCGCAGCACATCCCGTGCGCATCTGACCTGCCTCGTCTCATCCGACTTGGCGCAAAAGAAATTCTCAAAGCTGGCCGAGTGCCATGCTTCGTGTGCGAAGCACACATCCACCACTTCAAAGGCCATCCTAAGGCTGGAACACAGCGATGGAAACAGACATGACCATCTCGTTACGGCGCCGGGAAAAGAATTCGAACATCACTCAATACCTGTTGCAAGTTCCTTTTTTGGGTGTGATCTGTTTCATTTCTGAGAGAGGCTTCGGCTTCGCGGATGGACCATGGGCACTCTCTTCAGGTCCATGGACCATGAGTCCTTTAAGTTTTGGAGTCGCTCGATTTGATGTGTTACACATTGACTCACTAACAAAGTGGATGGCATCATCCCTTGGAATGTTCCTTTACACACAGGAGGGTTTCCACTTCCATATTAGTGAGTCTCTGATAAAACCCGCTGCAGGTCAATCCATGATGAACAATAGTGCTGAAATCCCTGCCACTGCAACCATTGCAGTGGCCTCTTTTGCCCCAGCGACAAAAAGTGCATGAAATCAATCCAAAAGGTCCCATCGTTGACCTCGGCCGACGGAGGACGCCGCTGAAAACCGGTGGCGGAAAACAGGTGGTATGACGGTATGATGTTGTAAGTATTATTGGAATCCATCTCAAATGGACAAATGGAGGTTAGTTTTTAGGTCTAGGTTGAGACCAATGGTGCTATCTGTACTTTTGAGACTTGGGTGCGATGCCATGCAAGCGCTCAAAACCACGCAACATGATTAAGCGTGCCAAAGATCACGTCTTGGGCTCAACTGTCCAATCTACCGTTTTTCAAGGAGTTCAGTCTTGTGGATGGGCCGATCCACCCTAGGGTCAGCTCAAGGCATGCGACTGCCACTTAAAACGCGCCCACAAAAGCTGGTAACTGCCAGGCCCAGGTTTCTTTTGAAACCCCAACCACCAACCCGAAACGTCTCCCTGCCATACTATACCTGGCGTGTAGTTTGTCCTTCGCCAACTCAAAAGGTGCCTTCTAGGCCCGGCCGACCCCACCACGATCTTCAGGCCGAGCCCGACCTTGCTTCGCCCCAAGATCTTCTCCAAGGAATCGGTCCATTGCTCCGATAAGTCGGACCATTCGCGATTCCACTCGCCCTGGCCTCCTGCGAGCGGAGGGGGGCTGGCGAGCCGGACGGGGCCAGCCCCGCCCGGATCGAACGAGCCGAACTTCCTTCCTTCGCCCGGGCGCTGAGTTCGGGGCCGTGAGGCCGATCGCGAGGATTGGCCAGGGCAAAAACACAAAAGAATCAATCGCGTTCTGTATAGACTCTTGATTAGTAGACCCCCCCATTTGGAGGCACGAACTTGCGGACTGTCGATGTCGACGCCTTCCCAGGTACCCCCCCTTCCCAGGTACCCCAAAAGCATTTGGATTGTAAAACCTCTTCAAGAGTTTAGATTTCAAAGCGGTGTTTATGGTAGTCCAGCCAGGAGACGAAGTTGCTGCTCTGTTTTGGTGTTCACCGACTTCCACGGATGGCGTCTTGCGTTCTGCCTGGTTCTAAGTGACGACGGGAGCCGTCTTCAGAACCCTTCAGACTGACCTCCAAAGGCCCTGAAGTTGCAAAGACTCCAATTGTTGTTTAATTGGTTTAAGAGAACATCTATGCAGGAAACCATGGTTTTCACATGTGTTCATCCCTTAAACAATGTGTGTTCTCCTACATGTGTTTTCTTTTCTAGGCACTTGGAGCCCTACAGTTAGAAATCAATTGACCCTGCACTATCCCAAGATATCCCAAACACCACCGATGGAACTTGAATTGTTGGGCCTATAACTGGAACCCTTGAATACACAATGCAAATATGGCATTCCCATTTGTTGTGTCTGGGTATTCATCTCTGCACTACCATGTCTGGTCTGCGATTGGACGATGCCCAAGAAGGGCAACATCTTCCGGTATTGAAGAGCCACCAAAGAAGCGTCGAAAGGAATAGGTAGCCCACAAACCGAATTGAACATCAAATCCCCCTCCCAAAACATGATGCCTCACATGAAATCATTTACCTGCATGATAGGAACTGAGTAGTGAGATATCTTGGGATGCTTGATACCTGCACACTCCTCACATAACAATCAACAACAAATTCTACCAATCAGGGCCCCCCCAAAAAAGGAATCACCCAGGTCTTCCAACCAACCAAGCTAACTTAGCCGCTTTGACCCGTCGACGCCGCGCTTGGCACGGGCCGCGCCGTGTGGATTTCGGAGGCGTAGCAGTTGAACGATGGCTTCTCCCGTGCGTAGGCCCACAGGCACGTCCTGCGCGGTGGCGTGAAAGCGGAAGAATGATGGGAGGTCACCGAAGTACCTAAGAATTTGATCTTGTTTGATTATTGATGGTGGCCAAACGCCACCCAATTCAAGAGAAAAACTAGCTATATAATTAAGGCCTATCCATACATGATACTATACAACCGTCAGCCTCACAGATCCAATTGGCACATTAGTTGCACATGTGCTACCTTTGCTTTGTGTCCACATCTTGGTCCAACGTCGGCCTCTGCATCAATTTCTCGAAGCTCCAGGATACTGTAGGCGTGGTAGCCCACCAAACCCACCTGTCAAGTGTGCACAGTTCTACCACTCCCTAATAACTATAACCCTCCCAGAGGGAAGAAAGACTCCCCTTAACCACATGGCACCTTCGTGTGCTGTTCCGCTACAAACCTCCATGCAAGTGGCAGCCTCATGAAACATGCCGGAATTTTCTGTCAATTGTCTAGACTATAAGCTTTGGATTTTGTGTTCGCCAAACACGCAAGCACTGGTCAATACCAGTGGTATTGACCTTCTGGAAGGTTATACAACCTTGACCATCATGGTTTGGTGAGCAAAAAAGGTCAACATAGGTCAACGTACATCGTACGTCCCTCGATGGTCGCTGCATGCTCTCCTAGAGAACACTCTAAGAATATGTCAACAAGCAAGACAAAACACCCAACTATAAGGAAACAATTCCCAGCAACCAAACCTCTATCTCAATCAAGCATCTTCTCTGATTATCTACACCGCTACACTACCTGGAATCATCATGATTACGTGGATGGCATTGTGGCGCCTTTTTCTGGCCCCTATGAGTGTTCCGAAGATGGACACGGCGGTGCCATCCCCGAAACGATGATTCCAGGGAGTGAAACCATCATCTAACCACCAACTCTCGGGCCCCCCGTTCAGTCGACTCTCGGCCCCCTGCCTCTTCCAACTCAGGATGCCCTGCTGTGCCACAGCCCATGGGGAGTTGCGCTAAATGGTAGGTCACCTCAAAGAAAGCAAACAGAAGAAGAAGAAGAATCACCTCATATCACCTCATATCACCTCATATCACCTCTCTGTTCATCAACATGTGTCTTCAACAAGGCAAGAAATCAACCTTGGCGAAAGAAACCTGCCTTAGATTGACAACCCCCAACATTGTGAACAAAGACAACTACAGTAACTAAACATAAAGAGTCTGTTATGCACTAGCGCACTGCGATCTGTGAGATCTTTGACATGAGAGGGCTCTGCAAGCACATTAAAGAACACAAACTCTTACCTGATGGATCCTTCGGCCAAACCAGTTTTGAATCCAAATGTGAAAGTCACATGCTTCGATACATGTCGAAGACCATTTCACCTAC